TTCACCCTATCCACATGTGCCTCCTGTAATTTTTCTTCAATGACAATCAATTCCTTTTCTGTATCAGCTGTTAATTCCCTGGGACTATTTAAGTCTTCGTCACCATCTAAGGTTTTGTTTAAATGATCAAGCGTTATCCCAATAGCTGGTCATAGACTGGAAATGTCTCCTCACAATCTTTGAAAGTCATTGAGTCTTCAATCTGTCTCTCCTAATTTGTGCCTTTTGTGTTCTAATTTTCTGTAAACCTATTTTATAACCTAGGTAACTGACACAATTTCCTCTCTGTATTTTTTTCAGGAGCAATTTGTAATCCCCATTTTGGCAAAATTTTCTTTACTTCTTCAAACATTCTAAAGTATCTACATTTGAATCAGTTAGCAAAATGTTATCCAAGTAATGGTAAATTATATATTTAAGAATTTTTTAACATATTATTTGCAATGGCTGACTTACAAAGTATTGGCATAGGGTAGGGTTATTAAGCATTTCCTGTGGGAGGACGGTCCACTGATATCTCCTAGTAGGCTGAGAATTATTGTAAGTAGGTACTGTGAAGACAAATTTTTCTCTGTCCTTTTCTTGTAAAGGTATAGTGATTAAATAATCTTTTAAATCCATAATTATAAGAGGCCTTCCTTTTGGTAATAGAGAAAACAGAGGAATTTCAGATTGTAGAGGGCCTATAGGTTGAATAGTTTGTTGACATCTCTTAAATTTGTCACCATTCTCCATTTACCAGATTTCTTTTTAACAACAAATACAGGAAAATTCCAAGGGCTGGTTGATTCTTCAATATAATGAGCATCTAGTTGCTCCTGTACCAGCTGTTCTAAAGCCTGCAGTTTATCTTCTGTTAAAGGCCACTGTTTAACCCATATTTGTTTTTCAGTTAACCATTTTCAAGGTAGGGCCATTAGTACCTCTAAAAGTTTGCTAGTTGCTTTGTGTTCTTGTACAGCCTGAATAGTTTATGACCTTTGTGTATAGTACCTTATAATATCCTTCCCAGAAATATGAGTTTCTGGGACTGCAGGAATGTTAACATGGGTATTCCATTGCTTCAGCAGGTCACAATCCTATAAATTCACCGCAATATTAACCAGATATGGCCTTAGCCTTCTTCTCTGTCCTTCTGTTCCTATGTCCTTCAACCCATCTCGTGATTTGTTTTACTTGAGATAAGGTTCCAATTCCTAGAAACTGAACAAATGCCTCTTGAAGAGGCCAATTTGGATGCCAAGATTCTGGAGTAATGATACTGACATCCACACCTGTGTCTATCAAACAAACAATTACAATGCCATTTATATGCATACTTAGCTTTGGTCTTTGATCATTTATAGAAGTGTGGCAGAATATAAGTTTCCTATATCCTATTAAATTTTTGATTCATTTTCCATGTTTGTTCCATCATCCAGAACAGTATAGTTTTTTTGTTTGTTTGTTTGTTTTTGTTTTTTATAGAAGGCTCTGGACATTTAAATTTTTCTGGTGAGACATACCCTCCACAGTGACTGGGAATGACTGGACCACTTTTGACTTGGGGGCCTGTGAGAGGCCCCCAAGGGGTTTCCTGATGCTATTGGGTTGCCTTGTCTGTCTTTTGTTGATCTGCTTTCATTGGTCAAATGTCAGCCTTTGTTACACCTTCTACATAATCCAGAAAGTTGATAACTTTTATTTTTGCCATTCCCAGAGGAGACATTATTTCTAGGAATTCATTGTCTACAATCCCTTCTCAGATGTCCTATTCTACCATAATTAAAACATTTGACATTTTGATGTCTTCTCATACCTTTGGAAATTGCTTCTCCTACTCAAGATTCAGTATTATAGTCAAATGTCTCAATGTTCATTGTATGCAGGATCCATTCATTCATTGGTGCTGATCTAACGTATCTTTTTGCATTCTAAGTTGGCATTTTCAAAAACCAGAGATTCAGTAAGTACTCATCTAGCTTCTGGGTCTGTTACTCCTATTTGTACAGCCTTAGTTAATCTTTGTAAAAATGTCACCAAAGGGTTCTTTCTGGCCCTGTTTAACCCTGATATATGATTCATTTTTTTTTTTACTAGTTCTTGAATCCTGTTCCAAGCATTTAAGGCTGCTTTGTGGCATAGGGAGAAGATTTGTTCATCGTAAAGAGCTTGAGCCTATGGGACGGCATATGTGCCCTCACCAAGAATTTAATCTTGTGAAGTCTCAAGTCCTTTTGCTTTTCCCTGTTGTTCTAAAATTTTTGCCTCTTCTCGCAAATAACATTTTCACAGCAGTCAGGGCCGATCATCCAGGACTGCTGAAACTAATTGAAGCCACTCGTGTGAGGCAGCCTTATTGCTAGAAGCCCATGTCTTTATCATCTCCCTAACAAATGCGGAATGCAAGCCATAAATTACAACAGCTTGCTTAATTTTTTTTTAGATCATCCATTCCTATAGGTATCCATCTACCTTCTTTGGATCCTTTTGGGCATTTAGAACTTGATGCTTTGTCAGAGTAGATTACAGGGTAGGAATTTAAAACCCTGGGTAAGTCATCTCTGACAGCTACTGGCAATGTTAAATCCTGTCCTTGTTCCTTCTTTCCCTACTCATAAGCTCCAATAATTTGTTTAATCATTTCAAATCTTTTTACTACTGTCTTTTCTAAAGCATGAATCTCTTGGCCTGTATATATTTCTACTGGTTTTATTGAGGTACCAATCTTCTGGTCCTCATTCTGTACATGTAATTCCAAGGTCTGAAGTTTTTCCTTTAAAGATAACATCTTATCCTTGGATACTATTTGGATCGTGTGCAGATTGCCTTCCTGGAGAGATACTCTATCTGCTAACCTATCAACTTTTTAACACATTTTGATTGGCAAATTCAATAGTATGAATTATCTTACAGATTATCTTACAGATAATTTCTCAGTACCCTTGACATGGATTCAATTTTGTTTGTCAAATTAATGTTGTTACCCGTCTCAATAGTATTAATTTTTTCAGATACCTTTTGATTTTCGGTGGTATTAATCCTATCAGCTAGCTGTTCATTATTAGTCTGTAAAGACTGTATCATTGCTAAAAGTGCCTCATTCTTGGCTCTGTTATCAAACCATTTTCTTAAAGATATAATATGAAGAAAAAAACTGAGTCTCAATATCCTATAAATGGTTTTATCACAATAACCATATAAGCTTTACAGAATACAATCCATAACATCAGCAAAAATGTTATTGAAATTTTGCATGGTAATGTCTGCCATTATATAACTTTCAAATTTATTTATTTATTTATTTATTTATTTATTTATTAATCAAATAGTTACCTGTTTTATAAGATCCAGTAAGTTGTTTTAGGTATAATAATCTCTATTGTCCAGCAGGTGTCATGGTTGCAGTGTTGTGTCAGGTGGCACAACTGGTAGTGGCACCAATGTCCTGTGCAGCTTCAGCCTTCTGCCTTGGTGCTGATCAAACACTGACAAATACACTTTGCTTGACAAACCAAACGGAAGCTGTGCAAGTCACTGCACATCAGGGGATGTGGCAGTGTGTGTGTGGGAATGTGCACAAGCTTGGGAAATTTCCAAGTCGCCACACACTTAGCTCTGCTGTGGCAGGGCTTTTACAATAAAAAAAAACAAAACCACTTAGTAGGTGAAAGCAAGCCAGGTGGGCAGAGGTGGGAGACCTTCTGGGCCATCAACTGTTTGGGCCTTTTGAACTGGTCCACCCATTAGGTGTGGAGTTGGTATCCATGTGGGGCACCAGATGAAGATGAATGCTAAAAAGAAATCCCACACTAGCTCAGAATTGAGTACAATACAGGGTTATTTATTTAGGGGTAGACTCACAGATCACAGTCCTCTGCTTGAACAGGAAAACAGCAGCTGAGTCCAACAGCAGGAAGAGGAGCGGGCATGCTTTACATCGGCATTTATAGTATAAGAGGCCACGCCCAAGTGGGCAGGTAACTTAAAGTCTGCCCGATGAAGGATTTCCTACAGCACTGGCAGAGTCCCAAGACAGTGCAGTATGTCCTGGCAAGAGGCAGAGCACATGAGAAGAAACTCGACAAAACAGATTTTTACAGCTGATGACCCACTCTTGAGGGAACTATTTCATCCATTTGTTCTGGTTAGGATTTTGTCAACTTGACACAAGCTGGAGTTGTTCTGGGATAAGGAACCCCAATATAGCTTAGATTTATTTTTAGCTAGCTCTTATATCTTAAATCAACCCATTTCTATTAATCTGTGTATCACCATGAGGCTATGGCCTACCAGTAAGGTTCTGGAATCTTTCTCCTTTGGCAACTACATGATGTCTTCCTGACTCTGCCTTCTTTCTCCCTGAATTCCGTTTAGTTTTCCTGCCTACCTATATTCTGCCCTGCCATGAGTCAAAGTAGCTTTTTTATTAACGAATGGTAGTAAAACATATTCATAGCATACAGAGGGGAATCCCACATCAGAGGTGAAATCTAGTGTCCAAATGGAGATATCTTTTGTAGAGAGAGGGATGGTGTCCTTAGACCACTTAGAGAGCCTGGCTTCCTGCAAGGGACTCTTCAGACAATTACTAGTATACTTACTCATAAATAATTTTAATAGATAATTCCATTTAACTCTGACTCACAAGACAAAACTCTTAATGCAAAAGTTGTAACACAATTTGGCATGGTGTTCCTATAAAAATTATTTTGGGTCTTGTAAATTGAAAGTCCAACATCCATGTAAACAGTAACGATGTACATGACAATAATTTATAGCAAGATGATTAAGATTCTGTGTTAAAATAAGGTATTGTAATAAAAAAGAAAAATGTAATATAAAACTATTTTATTAAATTAAAAGTTCAGATAAATTTCAAAGATGAACCACTTGCTGCCTTTACAGTTTTGAAGCTCTGGAATTTAAATATGCCTAGCATGTTATTTTATAAGAAAAAGTTACTTGTGGTTTCGAAGGCAACAGAATCAAATAAACTTGGACATATTTTTCTTTAAAAGGCAGTGAAATCTGACCTGGGATGCTGTTTTAGGAACAGAATGGATGGTCAAAGGGAAATGTACCAATTAGATCTTAACATTGTGGGCTTGCAGTTCAGCCATCACCCGCTCTTCAATCAAGAACAAGTCCTATGTGCCAGGCTGCTCCAGCTCTGTGAGTCTTTCCAGGACAGGCAGAAGCAGAGTTTATCTCAACTGCTCTATGAGAAGGTGAGGGGGCTCCTGGTGACTTTCTAGGGCCCAACACTTAAAACTGGAAGAGGATACTCTTGGAATAGAACAGTTAGCAGAGAACCTTCTCTCTTAATGCTTAAAGATTTAACCCACTAGAACAGTGATCTGAGAACAAATGGGAAGGTTTGACTTGTGGAGGAGATAGCCTCAAACCTTCCCCATAGGATGTTTGCCACAGATAAAGCATCCACTAATTCGTGCTACTCTTGGTTCTATGATGCAAGAACATTTGAAATTATAATGGTATCTTAGTTAGGGTTTCTGTTACTATGAAGAGACACCATGATCATGGCAATTCTTTCTTAAAAAGGAAAACATTGAATTGTGGTGGCTCACTTACCATTCAGAGGTTTAGTCCATTATTGTCATGGTGGGAAGCAAGGCAGCATACAGGCAGGCATGGTGCTAGAGAAGGAGCTGAAAGTTCTTACATCTTGACTCACAGGCAACAGGAAGTGGTCTGTAACACTAGGCATGGCTTGAGCATATATGAAACCTCAAAGCCCATTCTCACAATGACATACTTCCTCCAACAAGACCACACCTACTCCAACAAGGCCACAGCTTCTATTAGTGCCCTCCCTTTGGGGGTCATTTTCTTTCAAACAACCACAAATGGCTTTAAGAGGCACCACCTTAAAGTCTTGCAATTTAGCATTTGTACTCAAATAAGTAGCAGTCTTGAACCTCCTGTGAAATTGAACTGTCTGCTTCTGAGGATGACTAACCTAGAATTTTTGGTACTCACAGGGACTATTCTCATGTAACTACTCTATTTCCTCCTCCTATTAAATTCTCTCACACAATCAATAACATATAATTCAAACAGATGAACCAAGTTCTGGTATTTCTGCACTATCATCATCATCATTATCATCATCATCATCATCATCCTCCCCACCAGGGTGAGCTCTTCTGCATTGCTCCTTACAACAGTGGGCAAGGAGAGGGGCCAGTTCTCCTGCTTACCTGCCCTCAGGGTCAGAGCTGCCCAGGTGAGGTGTAGGTCTCTCCTGAATGCTCTGCTGAGCCAGTGAGGGACAGAACCAGCTCTCCCTAGTGTTGCAGCCAGTGAGGGACTGGGCCAAACTCTGTACAGCCCTATCCTCTCAGCCTTTGAGGGTATCAGGAGCCATGGACATCGACAGAAACTGAGGCTGCATCAGAGCCATGAACCCAGACATGGGCCCTGGCAACAGTTCAGGCTCAGACATCACCATGCCCTGGGTGGCAATCAAGCTACCCACCTCAACCTGCTCCTCACCTATTTCAGCTCTTCGGATATGCCCCTGTCCACAGGACATGACCATTCTGTCTCTCTCTCTCCCATACCACACTATACATTTGCCCACCATAGGAGTCCTTCTGCTTGGCACGGTAAGCTGCTGAGTGGGCTCCATGTTTTCTCCTCAAAGCCTGAGGCGAACTGTGCCAGGTCTGTGTATGGGACTCATTGTCCCGCTTAGTATGTCATGGTCCTGGGCAGGACCATGCTTCCTAGTCACAAAGAGATAATAGTGCCCAACCACCTGGTGCCAGGTTCCTGGTTGGTGCTCAGGTGTTGCTGGAGCCCTCTCACAGGCTGTGGCTAGAAAACCTGGGAAATTATCTCATCTTTAAAACCCATAGCGGCAATAATTTTTATCTCCATAGAATACTGTCTATATGAATATATATGAATATATTCGGAGTGGCTTTATCTTTACTGTCCATACTCATGGCTCTATACATAAAGTAAGCTATTTGAGATCATAGTTCATCACATATTTCCACATTGCAGTCTTACAAATCAATCCTTATTCTTTTAATCAAGAAAAACGATCATTTAATTGCAGCTGATCGTGTCCGGAATCTGACAGGCCAAATTATAAATACTCTTCCATGTATTACTATGATATGTGTATATAACTCTAGCCTTTTATCCTATGTGTGTCTTGGATAAAATTGAGCTCCAACCTGATGCTTTGTCTCCCAAGTTGAGCCTGGGGGCTACCAGCATCATTTCTGTACTGACTTGAAGAGCTATCTTTACTGTAGTCTGATGAATATATTTATGTACTATTATGTGCATAAGGACTATCTCTTCTACTCCTCTATTGATCTAGTCTTACCTTGTTTTCATTACTAAACAATTATTAGATTATGTAAGGTAGGATAAAATTTACACTTGTGTGCTTCCGTTGCACACATCTGGATTTAGGTTTCTACAGATGAGTTAGAGCAGCAGTCACACGTATATGAAGTATAGCAAAAACCTCTTTTCTTGATTGCAGCTCAAAGCACTGACAGAGACTACCAAACGCGCTAGCAAAAACACAGAAATAAACCAGTTTACTGGGGAAACATTACAAGATTATTACTGGCAGATAAGGTAGGTTTTGAGTGAGTCCTGCATGCATCAAACATTTATTAAGTAGATTGGATGATAAGCTGTACTTGCTCTGGGATATATAAAATTCAAAAAGTAGAACTTCCTACTCTTCAGGAGATTACAGAGATGCTGCCAGTCTTTCCTTAGGGCTGTGTTTGTGTAGAAACATTTCATAGAACTACCATGAGAAAACACTGGTAGGTTTAATATCTACCAATGAAAGGTTTCTTGATGAACATCTTTGCAGAATTCCTGAGGAGAAAGTCTGAAGCCAGAAAGTAGAGTAATTAACTTGGTTTAAAAGCAGGATTGAGCAGACAGAGAAGTCGGTGACCTTGGAGAAACAGAAAATCACCCTAGGTGACCTGAGAGCCATTACCTAGACTGACACTCATCATAGGAGCTCCAAAAGATGTGACAGGCCTGAGGAGCCTTGAAGCCATGGCAGGAGAGGAGGATACTGAGCTGATAGCATGCAGACAGGAAACAGAAAGAGAAGAAAGGAAAGGAGAAGAAGGACTCGGTGCAAGATGCATCCATTAAAGTCATGCTCAAGTGACCTGCTTCCTCCTGCGAGGCCCCACCCCCAACCAGTGGTACAACCAAATTTTAGTTAAGTTAGTTAGAATCTACGTGATCTAGTCACTCAACAGCATCATCAGTGGAGTTTCCAAATGGGTTGTTAATAACAGTATTTGGAGGTGGGGTCTTTAAAGTTAATTAGGGATCCATGGTCATGGGCGGTGGTTTTTAATGTCTTAATAAAAGGACTTTGGAGAGCAGGCTCTACCCACCAAGAAAGTGATACGGGTTGAATATTGAATGGTATTTCTCTACCCCCACGTATTTTAAATAACCACAGTCTTTCCCCAGCTCCTTCCTAGAGTGACCGATAATCAGGATCATCCTCATTGTTACTTCTCATCGAAATCTCGTGAGATCTGAAACCTGACCATGTCTGAACTGTTCCTAAGTTAGTGGCTGCATGGCTGCCCAAATATAACCTAAAATTTATGGGAGGACACCCTTGTATTAGGGGAAATAAAAGCACTGACTGGTTTACACTTTTGGTCATAAAGAGCAGAGTACCAACCACAAATGATCTCAATGTCACATAGCAAGAAACGTCACCAAAATGTCAGGGCTCCCAGCCCCTTTCCTTATGGTTTCTTTCTTTCGGCATCTTCTGCCCATTCCTTTGGGGTGTCTCTGACTTCTTAGCTAGATTTCCCTTCTTCCAGAAAGCTCATATATTAGCAGAAAGCTTTTGAATAGTGATTTTAAAACAACAACAACAATAACAACAACAAAAACCTTTGCGGAGTTCATTTCTGCTGTGTTTTCAGTGGACAAAAGAAAAGCATCCTAAGATAGAGGTTCCAGATGTGGGTCAAGTAGGGGGACCAGATCGGTTCAGTCCAGTATGTTCTTCTACGATGCTCCAAGTGACCTCAGCTCTAACCTAGCAGCCCACTCTCACTCTGCAATTCTTTTCACAGCGACACAAAGCGACTGTACGACGCAGAAAGGGAAAAGGACCATGCCCTACTGCACAGTGTTTTGCAAACTTGGAAACAGATGAAATCTCTCCGGCAGAAGCAAGGATTTACAAGCACCCCAGTGAAACTGCAGTTTCATAGGTAAGTGGCCGCTCTGTGTTCATTAGTCCTCGAGGAAGTGCCTGCAGACACGGAGAATTCACAGTCACTGAGAAAAGATGTAGAAGGAGCACACTGATGTGTAAAGGCCTGTGTGTTGAAGATCTCAACAAATCTTACGAATCATTTAGAAGGTAGCTTGGTTGAAAAGTGGGTGGAGGGATTGGACAGATGCACACCGGGAGGTAAGTGGACGAGAAATGAACACATGAACACACGAGTAGCAGCACGCCAGAGAGAAGTGCAAGTTAAAGCCACAGTGAAGCAGTGTTAGCAAAGCTGTCCAAATGGCTAAAAACAAAAAGTCAAGCAAATACCGCCAAGGATGCTGAGCAGCAAAATCTCCATGCATTGCTGATGGCACAGAGGCAGTTTGGTACTTTCTCATAAAGTTGAACGTGGATCCAGCAATCATACTGCATACATTAAAAATAGTGAAACATATTTGAAAAAGTTAGATTGAGTCATAAAAGTGTATCTATTATAATATGGGAATTCCAATTTGGAATTAAATTTGTTAGTCATGTAAGTTCCCTCCTGACAACTCTTTGTCCTGCATCTATCTTTTTCAAAACTGCTAAGGGTGAGGGTTGTTTCAGGCAAGTAGGGAGGTGTATTTTCTGTTGTTCCTCTACTGTGCCGTAGCTTTTAACAAAAGCATTTCTGACAGTGCCTAAACCCAACCCAGCATGGGATTTCATCTTAAACTCCCAAATGAACTCCCAAACTCAACACACCCATGCACCATGAACTCCAGAGGACAGCCACAGACACCACATGGCTATTCAGACTCAAGACCTTGAGCACAGGGTATGTGTTCCCCAAGTCTTATTCTTGCTGCTTTGAACTCCGGTCCTCACTGTTGACTTTTCCTAGCGTTAAACAGATTTGATCTGGGATTTGCCTTGGTGCTTTTTTTTTTTTAACTTAGAAATACCTGCACTAAATCCTGAAGTATCAGTGGCTCGGATGATCCTAGCAGGACTTATCCCCAGTGATCCTAAAGTACCCTTCAGATAAACCAGGAAAGCAGCGTGTTTAATGCTCCTGAGACCTCTTTGTCCTGGACAACTTCGCTGTTCTTATCCTACCAACCAGCCTGGTCCTGGTTGATCCTAACTCAACAAGATTGTAGCCACCTCTCCAGAGAAGACGACTTGTGACAAGAATGCGTGGCACCGACATGCTGCCTCCTTCTCGTGTTTGGCTTGGGGCACAGAATCTGACGTTCCCTAATAATACCCTCAGTGAGGCAGCTGAGTGAACATCTAGATGTACGTGGAAGGTGGTAGCTTATATTAACAGCAGATGCCACCAGTGTCCATGATACTCCTTAAGGAAAGGGGAGACAGTGAGATTAGGAGAGGCTCGAGAGCAGATACTTGAGAAATGTTTAAGTGGCTTAGAAGGGGGGAGAGACCCAAACACAAGACAGAGAAACACCAGAGAGCACTTTACCACAGAGGTGCAGGGGTGTGCGGGGTGGGGGAGGCACTGTATATACAGCAGGAAAGAATGTCTAACCACACTTAATGCTTCTGAGAGACTGATTGGATCTCTGACATGGAGGAAAAGACAGTCTCAGCTAATGCATGTTTTATAAAGTGGCAATGGCTGATGGGAACTAGCAGGAAGTTGAAGATAAAGCTGCTCATCTCATTCAGGCTGGAAACTCACCTTGTCAAGTGTGAACACCACTTTGTTAAGTTTCGAGAGACCTGGGCTGGCGCGATGGCTCAGTGGGTGACAGCATGTGCTGCCAAGTGTGACAATCAGAGTTCTGTCCCCAGGACCCACATGGTAGGAGGAGAACTGAGTCCTGTAAGTTGTCCTCTGGCCTCTACATTTGTGCCATGGTGTTCACATGCGTGAGCCACCCACCCCTACCTAAATAAATAAATATGTGGAAATAAATGTATATTTCACACACACACACACACACACACACACACACACACACACACACACACACTTTTTATAAGGTAGAGAGAAACCGTCTGAGCCGGTTGCTGCCAGTTACTGACTCCAAACCACACCACTGATAAATCAGAGAGCTCAGGTTCATGTAGATATTGGCTTCACTTATGTTCTCTGTTGGCCACTACTACCTAGAGGAATGCAGATCACTAAGAAGAGCTTAAGATTTGAAGGTGTGAGGTGAATGGAAGTCACACAAGGGGAGACTCTACACTTACTAGACTAACCAAAATCTTGGCATTTTCCAAATGGTTCAGAATAAAAAGGAGTCCACAAACCCAAGATGACTCTACCTCAGTAACTATCCCAAAGGGATTCTAAATATAAAAGCCTCAGAACTTATTAATAACACTAGTTCTCCAAATTACTGTCCATTAGAATCACCTGGGACTTGTAACAACCACTGTTCCTAGTTAATTGGTGTGGTGCATGGTCTGAGTCCAAGAGTCTTAAAATTGAATCTCCCTAAGTGATTTAATATGTCATAACATTTGAGCGATTACATTAAAGTACAGTAAGTCAGCTGATTGCATATTGATGGCTGTGAATCAGAGAAAGGCAATAATGGCTATCCTTGGTCATTCTGTGAAAGTTTGTCTGTGCACTTCACATAAAGCACCGATTGCATTCGGCCTTCGCATCAGCCTGACTTTCAGATGCGAGCAGGCCTAGAGCACTTCAGTCATTTGCGTTCTGCAGTGCTGTGGATGAGGCTGGGTTTTCAGCACACGTGCCCTGGTCTCAAGCCTGTACAGGTATCACACACAGAAGCCTTCCTGTGTTCTGTTTCAGAAAGGCAAAGGATATCATCCCTTAAACAGCTCTAAATGGGAGCTGGAGAAGTGGCTCAGAGGTTAAGAGCACTGATTGTTCTTCCAGGTCCAGAGTTTAATTCCCAGCAACCACATGGTGGCTCACAACCATCTGTAATGAAATCTGGTGCCCTCTTCCAGCCTGCAGACGTATATACTGACAGAACACTGTAAACAAAATAAATAAATCTTTAAAAAAAAAAAACCCAGCTCTAAGAGGATATGCTTGACAGTTTGTCGATATTTTAAATATATTCCAGACCCTTAGAGGATGTATATCACCCGGAAGAGAAACCACCTTCCTGTTTGTAATCAGTCCTCTTGTGCATGGAGAGGTTTCATTTCTCATGACTGAGGAATTGCTGGGTCACATGGTAATCTGGTTAGCACTCTCCCAACCTCTTTGCAGAGTAGCTGTGTCCTTTTATACTCCAAACAGAGTATACATTTGCTGCAGGAGCTCCTTCCGCTCCTTCAGCCAATAGCAATGGTCTGGTATCTCAGTGGTTATTGGCTGAAGGAGCGGAAGGAGCTCCCGCAGCATACATTGTCCCAAATGACTCTCTTCTGAAAGCATCAAAATAAAAACTGAAACTTGGAACTGAAAAGCACAAAACTCCCTAATCAAGAAAAAGTGTTCCAGATAAGAAGAGCCTTGTTGAATTGTAGTAGTGCCCACTGCACGCGGCTGTGAGTCTTAAGTCAATGTGTATCAAGTACTTAGGGCACGCATGCTCAGTAAGTACTGAGAGTAAGCCATTGCCAACAGTAGCAGAAACAGTCCCAGCACTGTGACCTTCTTACTGTTAGTGCATCAGCCCCAGAGAACATATGGAGCATGTCCACTCCCTCTGGTTACCTTCTACCTCTACACCACGTTTTGTTTGCATGCCTTAAACCATAAGAGACAAAAATGGGATTTCAGATGCATGACTTTTATTTACATTATCCCCATTCTTCTGGCTACTTTTCTCCCCTGAGGAGAGGTGGACTTCGAAAAGGCTGCAAATGCTGGTAGCAGATTTACCCACGAAGAAGAAACTGGTGAAAACTGCAGAAATGCTTAGGGAGGTTTTTTTTCCCCAAAATTTTCTCTAACAACTCCCAAATACCTACATTACTTCTGCTCTAAAGAATTTTATTTATTGTTAATTAGGATAAAAATGAACACATGGAATGAGCAGAACCAAGCAGGAGTGTCTGGGGAAGAAAGTGAAGAAATGCCACTTCAGAATGGAGACACACGGGAGGTATGTAACATGTGTGATGACACCGGCCATCTTAACCTGCTGGAGTATTCCATTACTTGGTACATGCTTCTTGGAACTTGCAACAGATAGCAGACAAATCCAAGTGTAAACAGCTCCCATGCTAATTTATCCGTCCTCCTCTTTTGGTTTCTAGAGATGCTCCTATCCAGCTTCAGACCTGGAAAGAATGGAAATGGATAGACTGAAGCCAATTACACCAGTGCCATGGCTTTCTTTCTCAGCAGAGTTAACCAACGTATCCAAGTGTTCATTGTAAGCACCTCAGCAAACTGTTTCTTTCTCACCAGTTGCCCATTGTATTGTTTCGAATAACGATGTCGGATTTCTTGAGTACCATTTGTTTGACACTGCTACATTTGCATATATGCATTTTTATGTGCCAGCATCCCCATTGCTCTATGGAGTGTGATGCTATCCTCATCTTTGAAGTGGGGGGAGTTGATTCTAATGGAAGGTTAAGTTGCTCCAAGCCACATATCAAATACATTCCTGAAGGAAGCCTATACTGTTTTTACTAGCAAGCATGGTATATTAGTAAGTTTTATACTTTGTCATGGTTGTAATTTTTATTCAGGTAGGAGTGGGGACATAAAGTCACTGTTAGTATATTTTCACTGGCCTCATTATAGAGCACCTGGCATTTATGGAAACTGCTCCATGTCAAGAGGGCCCCTTGAACAGTTCCTTTCTTTGACAGTACGGATTTCATTCTTTCCCGGATTTCTTTCTTGTCCTTGCCTAAGATGTTATGTGTAAATAAATAGACGATTTCTCTCATCCACTAGGCTTGCAGATTCCATCTTCCGTAAACAGGATATTTCAGCTTAGGGCACCGAACTGCATCTAGTTTTCTACTTTTCTCTCCCAGAGGAGGCAGATGAGTTCATTGTTGAGCATTGTGAATGCATCATTTAGCCCAGAGCTGGAACGTGGACAATATTTCAGTAAATACGCACATTTATAAGGAAATGGATTGAAAAGAAAACACAAAGACTAGCAGATCGAGAGCACAATTAGCACCGACCTCTTTCTGAGCAGAGAGGTCCAGCAGAAAAGCAGCCTTTTATTGGCCCTTTAATGAGGGCCTAAGATAATTTATTAGGTAAAATGTGTACAAAATGCCCATCCGAAAGAAGGAAGGGAAACAAACCATGAGAAGAAATCAGTAAAAGAATGGTCAACATGACCGTTCCATTTAGGGGAAGGTTTGTATTGTAAATAAGGGAGAGAAAATATCCAAAGACATCTGAAAGAGTCCAGAGCAGAGAGAAAGGGGAGTAGACTGGACATGGCCAGAGCTATCCGCGAGAGGGGAGAGCACACCAGAGAGTGGAGAGTAGAGAAGAGGCAGCACAGGAGCAGGGGTGGACAAACCATGTGGATTATAAGGAGCTGATTGTATTGCATTATATTATAATATTATATTATGTTATATTATATTATTTTATATTATATTATATGGAGGTTAGCTGGGAGGAAGGACTCCTTTGGGGCATGGAAAAACCCATTTTATAAGTTCCTGAGGAATGCTGGCTTCTGTCTAACTGCCAGAAATCCTTCTGTAGTTGAACTTGAGCTCATTTCTAGACATATGGAGAGCCTGAGACTTGAAAGAGGAAAGAGGAGAAAGGAAAGAGGACCTACATGCCAGAGAATCTAAAAAAGGGTTGGTATGGTTACGGCAAAAGGAAATACAGCTTCCAAAGCCATGGCTGCGAGATAGAACAAAATCGATTCTTTAGAAAGAAGTAAATGCTGAGCCAAGGCCAGAAATGAGAGGAAGCAGAAATGGGGAGGATTAAAGATGGTTCACAATGGAAGAAAGCAGGCACAGTTTCCTGAAGATAACATAATTTTGAGTTGATAAATTTTCATAACATAGAGAGCAAGGTCTGTGGTCTATAAGGCCCACAGCAATTAGGATGTCCACACAAGACTCGACTTTCAAATTTGCTCAGTGTATTCAAACAAGCATTCCTTATACTGTCAAGCTATTATAAAAAGTTAAAAAAGCTATCTCACTGAGCAGGGAACAGTCGTTTGGACAGAAATGCTGCTGTAGGGTTTCCCTGGGGAAATCTCCGGTGAGAACACTTCTGACCTTTGTGGGCTCAACCCACATCTGCCGTGACGTCCTTCAGCTGTGGCAGGCACAGCTGTGGAGGGCACTGATGGAGGTCCAGGAAATTGTCAAGGATGCTGGCCAGCAGCCTGCATGAGCCCAGTGATGGTGCCGGAAGTTCAGTGGCTGCCGAGGTCAGAGTCACACAGAGTGTCAAAGACTCTTTGCTGATGGCTAGAGCCATGTCTTGGAAGCACAGCAGTGTAATCCTAGAGACCATTCGCAGAGGTCCAATTCTTGTATCAGGCCATTGTGCAGTTATCAGGATATCAGGGCTCTCCTCTGGGGACTGGTTCACCAGGTAGCATCGCCACCCTGGGGTTAGTTCTCAGCATATCAAGGCCTGTCCTGGGCTAGGCTGTATCTGAGCTGTGGGGTGCTTGCCAGGGGTTTGCTCCTGAAGCCTACCTCTTTGGCGGCGTTAGGCATTGTATTTCAGATCACATAATACGACTTTTGAGTTACACCAAGTGGTTTTCTACTTACATTTCTAATGCACAATCTGTGTGTATGTTGTTGAGAACACCACACAGGATGGCTGTCTCGGGGGTAACTGGGAAGACGGAAGAGAAGAGGAGACACAATAAACATCGTTTGTCCCCTGACCTCCTGGGAGGGCTACAAGGAGTAGACAAACAATGGAAAGAGACTCTGGCCCATCAACTGATTATGGCAGTGGGGAGCAGGCGGTTTCAGGCTTAGGTCTAGGGCTTAGCGCCAATGAACCGTTCTGAAACCAAGCCTTACTCCTCACTGGCCTAACCTCATGGGTTAGGTGATTTTATGACCAGCAAGTGTTTCCATAGAGAAAGTGACCCCTTTCTCTCCTATTGTGGTGTTTGCCCCGTCAGGAAAGGGGCAAACACACCCTGGAGCCTAAGGAATTTACAGTTGTGTGTGTGTGTGTGTTTCTGTTTTTTATGCAAACCCTCCACCCCTCACCATAACCTCCTCTTCCCTCTCTTGTAAGACATCTGGTGGGTGTTACAGTTTCTTTGAGATATGGCTTGGCGGAATTAACAGCCAAACCTTGCTTTCAGTTCCTTTCTATTTTTGAATGTACATCTATCTTTCTTAAAAAATGATTGACTATAAAGAGAATATTTCTATCACACACAAGCAGGTGCTATTTGACTTAAAGATAGAATTTATCATTTGAAATAGTCGTTCTTTTTTCTTTTTAACTTCCTAAGGTAATTTTGAGGAAAAAAATAGCATCTTACATTGTTTCTGATTTTTTGGGTCATCTAATGACTTGTTTGATTTTTTTTTAGATATGAGCAAAAAAGGAGAGCCAAAATTCAAAAGCTCAAATATTTTATCAAAATATTCTACAATGATAAGCAGGTTTCTTGCACTTCCGTGTCTCCCCTACAGCTTGATTTTAAAGTCATGTTTCAACAGATTTTTAACATTCACCTATTATACTGGCCCGAAACTATTTGCTTGGAGGTATGCCATTTTCATTCATGTTTGTGTCTTATTTTATGCCAAATGTGTCATTTTCTTGCTAATGCTTGTTATATATAGTAGGTTATTTCTTTTATATTACGGAATGTCTTATGGCTATAGCTAGTAGTATATTTACAATTAATAAATGCATAATCTACCTCTGCTGTGGGCTTTCATGTCTTAAACACAGAAGTGTATGTTTTTGATCCTCACATCTTTCTGTTTCACTAGCGCTCCCATCAGCCCTGCATATGCAGTGTTTCTCTTCATAGTGAGTAACCTGGTTAAGCTACAGTAAGGCCTAGGGGTAGCAGAGCATCAAACAATCGCTGCACGTTTTCCCAGCCCAGACTTGGTGGCTTCAGTCTCTTGCCATGCCTGTTCTTCATCCTTTTTTCTTTCGTCCTTCCTTGTTGCTTTTATCTTGCATCCCTTTAAGAAAGGGGGTAGACGAACACATAGCAGGCCCCTGATCTAATGGGCGCACGTGTTTGACTACTTAGTTCTCAGCTGGTGGCACTGTCTGGGAAGGCTGTTGGACCTTTATGGGGCGAAGCCTTGCTGGAGGAAGTGAGTCAATGTGAAAACAAAACTGAGGCTTTCTAGCTTGTCCCCACTTCCTGTTCTTGCTGCTTTGTGAGCCCGGCCGCGTGACCTGCCAACTTTCTGTTCACACCTTGACTGTGTGAGGAAAATGTCGTAGAACAGCGTTATTTTTATATAGTATTTTTCAAAAATTATACTGATGTGTTATTGAGAGTTCTTCTCTTTTTCTGTTGTTCCTGTTTCGCATTTTGCTGAGTTCTCAATTATCTATTTTATATGTAGGTTTATGAAATAAGCAAAAGGACAAGTTTACTGGTTAAAATCTATCTGCCATTACCTGACAAGACGGAGCTGAAAGACAAGACTACCCTGGAATATACAGAATTTAGTTCCGATAAACTGGTCGCACCAATGGATGGAGGTGTGGGGAGCAGTGAGTATTGAACATCTCCTCTCCTCGGCTTTCTTCATGAGTACCAAATCATAAATGAGCCTGGGTCACACTCATGAGTAAAGAATCCTAGCTGGGTGTTCTGCGACACAACTTTTCCGGGGGAGATGCAACACGTACATCTCAGACAGGGAGCCCACAACAGACCAAAGTGCACATCACAAAGTCCAACTTTGTGAACCAGCGAGTTGTATTGAGTTCACTGACAGGAACAGAAATGACTGAAAGACAGCTGCATCACCAAAGCCCACCCGGCATGAGTGACAACTCACAAAGCTGGGGACCTGAAGCCCATGCACAGCCTACAGGCAACTCCACAGGTTGAGGGCATTTATTCCAGGTGCTCCCATTGGTCTAAACCTTTTCTGGGAAGCCTGGCTGGTCTCTGTTTCTCCCAAGCCGCTGGTCTGGTCTCAGAGTCTTCTTAGAAGTTCAACTTCCCTTCCTCTCTCAGAGGGATTATCAACTTTTATTGCTCATTTTTGCCAGGGGTGGGAGTGGGGGGGGAGCGGTTTTAGTGAATTGGTTTAGTTTCAGGAACTTCCTGAAGCTATTTTGAGTTGTTTCCCTGCAAAGCAGAATGCTTCAGTCTGGAGGAAATTTACACAACACTAGCTATGGTAGTACGTGTGATCCCAGCTCTCAGAAGGCCCAGGAGGATAATGAGGTCTAGGCCAGCCTCGAATTCATAGCAAGTCTTAAAAAAAAATGGCTGGGCGGTGGTGGTGTACACCTTTAATCCCAACACTCGGGAGGCAGAGGCAGGTGAATCCCTGTGAGTTTGAGGCCAGCCTGGTCTACAAGAGCTAGTTCCAGGACAGCTAAGACTGTTACACAAGGAACCCCCCCCCTCACAAAAAAAAACAAAAACAAAAACAAAAAAACTTCATTTACAGTATTTGGTTAAAAAAAATTCAGATTAAAAAAATTAGATTAAAAGTTTGTCTTGAATCAGGTCTTTGGGAAACTTAAACATTGTCAAGAATGCCTGTGTTTCTCCTTGTCCTACAGAGCAGGAGCAGTGTGGGTTCTGGAATGTGAGCTCTGGGATGTGTACATGTATTTGTGTGGGGCTTGGGTGTCTGTGCAGGTGTCAGTGTGTATTGTATGGTGTACGTGAAGTGTAAGTGTGTGTATTTGCGTGGTATGTGTCTGTATGGGTGTGTTTTGTGTGGGGTGTGTGTGCATTTTTGTTGAATGTGGGAGTGTTAGTGTGTGTATGTGTGTAATTGTGTGGTGTGTATGTATTTACGTAGTATGTGTCTGTGTAGGTATGTGTGTTATGTATTTGTGTAGTGTGTATGTGTGTGTGTGTGTTTGTGCTTGTGTGTGTAGGCAGGTATCTTTTTGTCAGTCATTGTTTACCTTATTTTGAGACAGAGCCTCTTACTCAACATAGGCAGGCTGGCCAGTGAGTAAGCATCTGTCTACTCTTGTTTTCTCAGTCTGGGATTGTGTAGGTGTGCCACAGGCCACCCTAGTCCAGGATTGTGTAGGTGTGCCACAGGCCTCCCTAGTCCGGAACTGTGTAGGTATGCCACAGGCCTCCCTAGTCCAGGATTGTGTAGGTGTGCCACAGGCCTCCCTAGTCCAGGATTGTGTAGGTGTGCCACAGGCCTCCCTAGTCTGGAACTGCATAGGTGTGCCACAGGCCTCCCTAGTCCAGGATTGTGTAGGTGTGCCACAGGCCTCCCTAGTCCGGAACTGCATAGGTGTGCCACAGGTCTCCCTAGTCCGGGATTGCACAGGTGTGCCACATGCCCAACTTTTTACTTTGGTGCTGAAGAGCTGCACTAAGGTCCTGTTCTGAGCTATCTCCCAGTCTGGGGGGCTTTGCTTCTGACTTCCTCTCTTTTACTGACTGTAATAATGCTACAGAATATGTCTGCTATTCTTGAATCAGTAGAGCAGGTAAGGGAAAAAGGAGGAAAAGAGGGACTGAGAAAAGGGATGAAGGAGAGGAGAACATTTCTATCCTCTTGTTATTTGATTACCTCACTCTTCTCATGCAAGTAGATTAGTTGTCACGTCTCAGAGAACACAGACCAAAGCCTCCCCTTAATGGCGAATCAATCCCACACCAGTTATGTTTTAAAGGGGTATGTATTTTGGGGGGTAAACTTACATGCACATAAACCGTCAGGAAATTAGCCTAGTCGCTGGAGCAGGAGCAGGAACCAAGCACCAGAACCAAGAGGCCCGAGCTGAGGCTTGCTGCTCTTCTTTTAAAGAGAAATAGACCACACCCTGGTGGGCTGGTATTTCGGCGGCTATTGGCTGACGGAGCGGAAGGCGCTCCCGCAGCACTGTGGGCTCGTGCTTCAGCGACTATTGGCTGAAGCAGCGGAAGATACTCCTGCAGCACCTCCCCCTTTTGTTTAAGTAAGAGAGTTCTAAGCCTACTATGAAATTATATACAGTAAGTACAAACCTACAAAATTATATACAATAAGTACAAATATCCTATTCTAACTAGCTAAAGTCTTGTATAATAAATAACTTGGCCAAGTCATGAGAGGAAAGTAGCTACATTTATCTAGTCTTCAACCACATAAAAGATCCGAGAAGGAAAATAATGTTACCTGAGTAATTAGGAAGTGCAATCAAAGAACTTCCAAAACATGCAACAAATCACAGAGACAACTGTCTACCTGGGCAATCACCAAAGACCTGTTTGCAGCGTTGACGCAACCAACTTTGACTAAGGCCTAGAATAACTGACAGATTATTTTTAACAGGCAAGAGATTTTTCAAAACCATCTTGCCCTGTCTTGGCAAGATTTAACAGTTCTGTTTATCCATTTCCGGATTTTATCCATTTCCGGATTTTAACAGGCAAAAGATTTTTCAAAACCGTCTTACCCTGTCTTGGTAAGATTTGACAGGTCTGCTTATCCATTTCTGGATACCATGTATTTGTCAGTAGTTGAGGTATGGGCAGTTCCTTGCCCAGAGGCCAGTATTGTCAAGAAGATAAGCTCCAAGTGGAATGTCTTTGGTGCTCAGCAATCTCTCGGGAATAGGTCGGTGTTGCCAGGAGTGATTGTGTCTCACTACACAGAACTCTAAGATTAAATTAAATGCCATTTTCTACAGCTCTTCAAAGAGGTTGAAGACTATTTATATATAATCTCTATGTATCTAAAGAACCTGATTAGTCTAACCATAAATATGACAAACATAGATGACTATTGATCTACAATTCTTAACATGTATCTAACTTAAAGACTAAGAGAATGAACAACTGTGCAATAAATGAGTACAATGACTTCCAAATGTAAACAATAAATATCAATACATAAACAATATATGAGTATCTTAATCAGAGGTAGAAATGTACACTGCAATATGGTATACATATATCAATACAATATATATCAATACATAAAAAATGTTTTAAACAGGTAGAAGCATACATACATACAATATTCAATATAATTTAACTTTGTATCCATATAAAAAAATCTATGCCGATGTAATTATCTATAAACAATAACTCACAAATACCATTATTATCTATCCAATTTTTCCTCTTTTTTTTCCAAAAAGATCCCTGAGCTTATAAAATTCCTTTCCCAACTTTCAACCGTATACTAATTATAATCAATCCCTAAATATTGTTCCTAAACCTGAGGACAAACTTTGCTGAGAGAGGGGACATCATCCTCTAGAATTACTTCCAGCTGTCATGGGGGTGAGGTTCTTTCTGGAGGATCCTGTGAAAGTAAAATGATGGTTAAATTTCAAGATCAATGTCTTTTAAAATTGCAAACAGTCTCTGAGTATTTTGTGGAGGTCTGGCCAGAATGTTGTACAAGATGTGCACCATTTCAGCTAACCAAGTTGGAATCATCTGTGCAGCTGATACCCGAAACAGGACTTGTAGTAGCACTATCAGTATCATGACGTCATATCAACTGAGTGGAGTTGTTGTTATGGGGGTTCCATCTTCTTCCTGGAAACTTCAAATGTCAGTGCAGAAAAAACTCATTGTTCATTGTGGAAAACTTAAACATTAATTATATAGACATATACAAACATATATTCAATGAAAGGTATGATAGACATATTCAATGAAAAGTATGATAGATATGAAGAAAAGCAAAGATGTTTTCTAAACTCATATTTCTTTCTGTCTCATATCATGGCTCTTGACATAAGACAGAAACTCCAGAAACTCTGGGTTTTTCTCCTAACAACAGGCTTGGAATTAGAGAGGGACCGAGCCAAGAGTCCAACTCCAAAACCAGCTCTATAAATTCAGAAATATGATTTAGTATATTCCAGAGCTTCATACTCACAGAACCAATTCAGTTTTCTTGATAAGCCATATTGGGTAGTTATTTTTCCATCTGTCAGTATTCAAACATCCAGGGTCCTTTGAATTTTTCAAAGACGAGTGTTTTCCTGTGGAGACAAGAACAGAACCCTGCCCCATTCTATGTTTTTCTTACCACCTGTATGGTTATCATCATTGTAGATGCTGTCATTTCTCCTTTCCAAGAGGTTTCTTCTCTTCAAATCTAACCTTTATTAATTTTGATGGTATCCACAATTTTTCTTCTCCTGTGGAAATAAGAGCAAAACCCCTTCCCCAACGTAGCACATCTCCTGGCTTCCATTGAGAGGTCAGCACATCCTTGATATAAACCGGTTGATTTAGTTCAGCACTTTTCCATTATCCAATGTCTTTCTGCTGCTGTTGTTCCCTTCTCATTAGCGTTAAGAAAATTCAAGGTTAATAAGGCATTATGTAATCTATTTCTGGGGGCATTTTCCACCCCTTTCTGTTTATTTAACATAGCCTTTATAGTTCGATTTGATCTTTCTATGACTGCTTGACCTGTAGGATTGTATGGTATACCTGTGACATGCTTAATATTATAATAAGCAAAAAAACCATTTCATTTTCCTAGAGACATAACCTGGACCATTATCTGTTTTTATTTGTGCTGGTATACCCATAATGGCCATAACTTCTA